ATAAAGTAAATAACTGAGATTATAGTAAAAGAAATCGTTACCAAAGTAATCAGTTAAGGAGTTGAATTGAGAACAAAGTTGTAGAGAGAGAAACTATTCTAAAACTAAGTAGAGAGAGAAAGTCTAAGAGAAGGGAGATCTAATTGAAAGCATTAAAATCGTATTTATAACAAAAATAATTACTCCTAATTAAAACTAGGATAAATCGCTAGAATTAGCTCCTAAAAACCTCGCGCCCAATCGGGTCCGCCTTTTCACCAACATAAGCATCTCTCGCGCCCGGTCGAGCGCGCGAGCTCTTTTCCTCTCCCGGCCGGGCGCTCCTTCGGGCGGTGCCTATTTTGGTCGGGCCCGGGCACTTGGGCAAGTTTGGACTTCGATTGGGCTCCGATTCTTAGGCCCAATTCGGATTTCCTCTTCGGATCTTGAATACTCGGTCCAAATGCCTCGGAATCGTAAATGTTAAGCCCTTAATCATTGGTTCGATGACTCTAACCGGCCCTGGGCTATAAAAACTGGTCGTGCTCTTCCATTGCTCGTAGTCACTCCATAAAAATACCGGGAAAATGCTCCAAAGGTGCAAATCCCTAGATAAGTCAACCAAAACTACGAAAACACTAGAAAACACCAATTAGTAATAAAAGTGGCTCTAAAGAGCCAAAACACTACCAATTATGACCAAGGGACGGGGGTAAAACACTATATAAAATGGACATATCAACCATCTTTATTGGCTTTACCATTGCCCCATCCACAAGGATTTGTATTACAATTTTGCTTGCTAGAACTCCACCCATCAGCACTACTTCCATTGTTCTAATCATGAAGAATTTGGCTTTCCCTAAAAATCCTGTTTCTCAATGACAACATGAGAGTGAATAGATATGTTTCATTTAGTCTTTTTGAAAATATTGTTTCCTGAATTTAATAGTATGGTAATATTTTTATAAACTATACAAAGCCATAAAAGACGTTGGAAAATGATCAAAATAATATTGAGTGAGTTTTAACCACATTATTAGATTTATGTCTCATGTACACATGCATTATGATTACAATCATCTCTCACTTTCTATCCTATTTCTTTCATCCGAGTATTTTAAAGACTTTGATTTAAGATCCAATCTTAACTTTTTGATATCGATATTGTTTGATTGATCATCTTTGTTCTGTCTTTCTCTCCCTATGGTTGTATAAACATAAAAAAATCAGTACTTAATCAAGAATCTGACACAGTTCTACCATAATGTTGATTATTATGTTAAATGTGTTACTAATTAGATGACTTGTCTTTAGCTTGTTCACATTATTTACTCTAACTTCACCTCACCTTTTAATAATGATGTTGTAATGATGTTCAATTCTGTTTTTTTTTTTCGGGATAATGATGTTCACTTTTAGAATGCCTGACGTTTTTCTTTCAAATAATACAACTATACAAAAACTAATAAATTACTCAACCTTTGACCAATCACTAATTTATTCACACAAAAAACTTTTTTGATGGTAAAACATCAAAGTATTAATTATGAACTTGAAAGAAACTAAAAAGGAAAATCTTCAACAACTTGGCCACATTATAATCACAAGGGTTGATATTTGATATTTTTCCATCCATCAAGATTTGGGTTCCAGTCACTTGGGGCTCACCATGTAGCCTTAAAATGTGATCATGGGTTTGTTAAATTAATAGATGATTAACCAATAAGCTAATTTCACCCAAAAATAAAAGTATATCTTTCATTAATATCTATTACATTTTCACGAGTTTTTACAACAAAAAAATGTAAAATAACAGATAATTTTATTTATATAAACAAAAAAGCCGAAAACAAATACCCAAAAACATTAGATAGAACATATGAAATTTCAACAATTCCCTCTATATCAATTCAGTATTTTTACAGTAGGCATTTGACTGGCCTATATGAACAATTAGAAGTAGGCATTTGTCATTATTCAGGTGATCATTCATTATTCATTTCATCATTAGTTGCATCGATCACCCTCAGCTCCTTCTCCTTCATTTCTTAATCCTCGTGGATCCTATAACAACCAATATATTTTCACTTACTTAACGTGATATAAGAGAACCTGAGAATATATTTTCACTTACACTTAATGTGATATAAGAGAAACAAACAACAGGATACTATCATAAAGTTATCACCTATAATTTGACTATTGTTAATGGATTCAAATTTAGTTACACAATTCCATATCATATTCCCATGAGATATGGATACTCATCCTTTACACTATTTGGGTTAGAAGAGGAAAGAACTCCATCATTACTATCAAATCGAAGACTATAAAAAATTTCTAAGAAAACCATATCTTAGTTAACATTTGCCCTAGTTCAAATCATATTCATCTTGGAGTATTGATGATGAACTTCCCAGCATATTTCAATCTCTTGTCTTTAGATCCCCAAGGCTGCTCCCTCGCTAATTTAGGTGTATTTTCTGATGAAGACTTTGAATTCAAAACTAAACCAATTTGCAACTTGTTGTCATTATAAGATTAAGAGTACCTAAATGTCAGTGTAAGTTATACATCAATAAGAATGTATTTATTTACCTTCTTTCACTTGTGTTTTAGAAAGTCTCTTCCTATTTCCCTTCCCCCTTCCTTTTCCTCTTTGTTCATTTATTACTATTTTATTCTTGTATGATTTTGTGGGATTCATAGAATTGGCTCCTATTTCAATCCCAATTTTTCCGATTTTTCGGTGAACCTAGTTCTTCAATCATATTTGCACGACGACTGTTACTACTACCAATACTACTACCACTGCTGGTGCCCTGCTACTGCTACTGTTACTGCTACTACTACTCTTAAATTTGTATCCAAAAAGTGTTGTGCTCTGCTCCTTCCTTCTCCTTCTAACTAATGTTCCTCTCTCTCCTTAAAATTATTTTTAATGGCAATGCAAATTTAAGGAAGTATATTTCTACTGCTAATAGTTGTATTATACTCCCTCCGTTTTTAAATACTTGCTCCACTTTCCTTTTCCTGCCGTTTTTAAATACTTGCTCCATTTCATTTTTTGGAAAGCTTTTACACTATTTAATTCATTTCTCACACTTGGTGGACCCAATATAATACTATCTCTCCTCCTATTCTTCCTTTACTTTTGCTTTTTACAATTTTTTATTTTCTCAATTACCCACTACCTCCATTTTTTTATTACTTTCTCCAAGTTCTCCTAAAACTCCGCGCATGGAGAAATGGAACAAGTATTTGAAAACGGAGGGAGTACTTTTTAAGTTTTAAAATGTTCACTTATGTCTCTTAAAAGTATTTTGCACTCCTTCTACTTCCTTCACCCTTCCTCACTCCCTTTTCTACGCTCTCTTCAAAAAAAAAAAAAAAAAAGCTTATGAAAAATCTAAGAAAGTATCTTCCTACTTGCCTATAGTCATCTCATACTTTAAATAATCGATTAAACTTCTCTTTTTTCTTTATTCCTCTCTATCTTTCTCACTCTTCTCTAAACTCTCTACTTCTCTGGCTTTTCACTCTCCTTTTACGATATTGCTATTTTTTAATTACCACCCGACCTCTACTTATCCCTTCCCCTTCACCCTCCTTCTCTCACACTGTCACTCATTCTTAATTTTGCGTATTAATAAAGTGCCTTTCGGAGAATTTCAACTAATACATTAAGAAACAGATTATTTTTCCAATATACACCAAACATCAACCCATAGCATTCCACTCACCCATATGTACTTCACAATTTCCAATTTGTTATAAAACATAACTCCCAAGCTATAAGGAAGTGGACCTGGTAATAGATCATCAGAAGAGGTTAGATCTACTAATTTCATTAATAACTTAGCCTGAGAATGTGTAACAACACAAAATTTTTAAACAAGCAGATGTTGGGCCCGTATTATCACACGACCCATTACATCTAGGGCATTAATCCAAGGCCAATAAGTCAGCAAGAATATGTAAAGCGGCTTGATTGAAATAAACAAGGAAAGCAGCATCAAGCATATCAATCAAGGAAATACTTGCCAAAGATACACCTACAGAGCTGGAAACAAGATAAATTAAGAGGATCTTATGCATTTCAAAGATATTCTGAATATATTTGTAAACCCTAGAGATCCCTAGATATAAATAAGAAGAATTAGACATTTGAACAATCATGTACGTTCGCATATACATAAATATAAACAATTTGCTCTACTTTTACCTACGGAGCTGCATCCCTAGTGAAGAAGGAGGCGTGTCCTTACTCAGTATTGTGTCTCTGAACTCACCTTCTTTATATCATTGAATACTTATTGCTTACTTGTTACTTATTTATTGCTTTATTAATTGTTCTTAGTTAATTTATATGTTTTTGGTAGTATGATTGTTATTACCCCTCAAACCTAGCAGATTCTCGTATGTCCTTATTGAGATTTGCCTAAACAATTTGGCGCCCACCGTGGGGCGAATAATCAATTAACCTACCAATTCGCAAAAAAAAACCAAGACAAACACCATGACTGGGCAACCAGTATCTTTTACCATTGCCGAAATTATTGAAGGAATGAACGCATTCCGCCAAACTTTAGACCAGTAGAAAAGCCAAATCGAAACGCTGCTAGCTCAAAAGATCTAAACTGAAGCCAAACTCACCAGCCTTACCAAAAAAATGAAGCCCTTCGTAGCCAAATACAATCAGTTGCATCTAAAACCATTAACACTAGAAAGAACACCGAAGGCATAGCCATGCAGCTTGACTTGTCCGGAACCTTTCACACCCCTAACGGGGAAAAAGGATCTAACAACAGGGATGATACCCTGGATCTAGACTCTTTGGATGCAGGAACCCCCTAGAAGGACAGTCAGGAAAGAGCCGAAGAGGGAAAAGTAGAAAAGATGGTCAGGGAATACCTCAAGACAATCGAGGCCAAAATAGCCAAAATCCCTGGAATGCCGAAACCCATGGAAGAGCAGCAGATGGCTATATAGAATCCCCATTCTCAGAAGAGATCTCCATGGTAGAAGTCCCAAAGAGGTTCAACACGCCCAATATGACCATGTACGATGGAACAACAGACCCTGATGAGCACGTATCCCTCTACAAACAGAAGATGATGACAAGCTCAATCCCTAGAGACATCAGAGAGGCTATCATGTGCAAAGGCTTTGGAGCCACATTACCACGCCCAGATCTGACCTGGTTCATTAATTTAGATAATGGGACTATTCGATCTTTTGCAAGAATGGTGAACCTATTCAAGGTCCAATTTGCCAGCAGCAGGAAAATCGAAAAAACAATCTTCAGATCTGTAACGCGTTGTGCAGAGACATGGTGAATCCTTGAGAGATTATCTTAACAGGTTCAATAGGGAGAAGATTGGAATACATAAGTATGATTCCCCCACAACAATCGAAGCGTTCAGAAGAGGATTGCTGGACCATAGTGAGCTCTACAAGGAGTTGACTAAATATCCCTGTACAACCTTTGAAGATGTGCAAGCCAAAGCTATGGCTCAAGTCAGATTTGAGGAAGATGCATATGCAAGAAAGACTCCCGAGCCAGATCGCCAGTCAAGAAGGAATAACAATTTTCCCAGAAGGGACCATCGATTCAAGCCGTATCAGCGTTCTCGCTTTGACGAGGGAACGATCAATGCTGTCGAGGAAGAATTTTTTGATTGGAGGGAGGATCCTGAACTCCCACCTAAGTTACATGAGTATTGCTTTAACGTTAACCCTGCAGGAGTAATTAGGACCCTAAATAAGATGGGAGATACTGTGCAGTGGCCTAGGAAGAGTGATAGGCCTGGAGAGAAGAAAGATCCATCCAGATGGTGTGATTTCCATTCAGATATCGCTCACACTACTGATGAATGTGTCGCGCTCAAAAAGGAAGTCGCATACTTGTTGAAGAGAGGCTACCTCAAAGAGCTCCTGTCAGATAGATCTAAAGCTTCAGGGAAGGAGAGAGTGTCTAAGAAAGGAGGTCCTCCTCCTCCGCCTCCAATTGTCAAAACCATCTGTTTCATATCAGAAGGGTCAGAAGTATGCAGTTTAACATATTTGGCAGCAAAGCGACATGCAAAGGAAAGTAACAAGGATCAACCAGACAAGAGGGAGAAATCTAAGATAGACATCCCCATCATGTTTGAAGAAAGCGATGCAGTAGAAGGCCATCATAACAGTCTAGTGATTTCACTCCCAGTGGGAAACTGCATGATCAAACGAATCCTAGTTGATAATGGAAGCTCTGCAAATATCATCATGCTCGACACCTTGAAACACATGAACATAGATGAGAAGAACATCGTTAACAAGTCAACAATGTTAGTGGGATTCAGTGGGGAAACCAAAAAGACAAGTGGAGAAATTACATTGGTAACATACGCGAAAGGGATCAACCTACAGGTCAAGTTCCTAGTGATTGATACTCTATATTCGTACAATATGATTTTAGGCAGACCTTGGATACATGAGATGAAAGCCATTCCTTCTACGTACCATCAAGTCATTAAATTCCCTACTAGGTGGGGTATTAAAGAAATCAGAGGAGATCCTAGGGAAGCTAAAGAATGTTACAAGATAGCACTGAAAGCAACGTCTGCAGAAAAGAGTTCAGCATAGCAATCAGAGGGTCAACTGGGCCAAGAAAATTTGAGCATAGCAGAAGAACAAGAAGCTACAGAAGTCCAGTTGAACCCCAAACATCCAGATCAAAAAGTCAGAATAGGATCAGAGTTGAAGACAGAACTCAGACAACAAGTTTACGACTTTCTAGACGAAGAGAAAGATGTATTCGCTTGGACGCATGAAGACATGAAAGGCATCTCTCCAGACGTAATTACTCACAAGTTGAATGTGGATCCAATTCATACACCAGTAAAACAGAAGAGAAGGAAATTTGCGCTAGAAAGGAACAAGATCATTAATGAGGAAATCCAAAACCTATTGAAGACTGGAAAAATCAGAGAGGTGAAATACCCAGAATGGCTTGCTAATGTAGTAGTAGTCAGAAAGAAGAACGGGAAATGGCGCATCTGTATAGACTTCACAGATATCAACAAGGCGTGCCCAAAAGATCTGTTCCCTTTACCTCATATTGATGCCATGGTAGACGCCACAGCAGGGCACGAGCTGCTATCCTTTATGGACGCCTACAGTGGTTACAACCAGATCCTCATGCACAAGGACGACCAGGAGAAAACCGCTTTCATTACCAGTCAAGGAATATACTGCTATAAGGTAATGCCTTTTGGATTGAAGAACGCATGAGCAACATACCACAGGCTGGTGAACAAGATGTTTGAAGAACAGATTGGGAACACAATGGAAGTCTACATAGATGACATGGTAGTTAAGTCCAAAAAGGCAGAAGATTACGTCAAAGACCTTAGAGAAGCATTTGCTATCTTAAAGCAGTACGACATGAAGTTAAATCCCACAAAATGCACATTTGGAGTACAGTCAGGAAAGTTCCTAGGATACATGGTCACACAAAGAGGAATAGAAGCCAGCCCAGACCAAGTTAAAGCCATCTCAGATCTAGAGCGACCAAAATCCAAGAAAGATGTACAAAGCTTAATAGGGAAAATTGCAGCGTTGAACAGGTTCATCTCAAAATCTTCAGATAAGAACAGAGCCTTTTAAGAAGTACTGAAGAAGAATAAGGAATTCAAGTGGGAATAAGAGCACGACGAAGCATTCCAAAAGCTGAAAGAATATTTAGCCAACCCATTGATTCTCTCCAAACCCAAAGAAGGGGAGCCACTCCAGTTGTACCTCGCAGTGTCCGAAGGGACAGGTAGCGCAGTTCTCACAAGAGATGAGGACAAAGAGCAATTCCCAATCTACTACGTAAGCAAAACCCTACTCAGTGTAGAAACGAGGTACGCATCATTAGAGAAAATTATTTTTGCCTTATTCACTGCTTCAATAGGCTACGCCCATACTTTGAAAGCCACTCCATACGAGTACGTACCAACTATCCCATCAGAGCTATCATGAGAAAGCCAGAGATGTTAGGAAGGATGGAGAAATGGGCCTTACACTTGAGCAGATACGATATACAGTACGAACCCAGGACTGCAGTCAAATCACAAGCCTTGGCAGACTTCGTAGCAGACTTCAGCCCTACCCTCGAAGAAGAAGCACAGAAGGAAGTACTGGCGCTACAAGAACCAAAAGCTACACAGAAATGGATACTCCATACAGATGGCGCAGCAAACATACGTGGAGTAGGCTTGGGAGTAGTACTAACATCACCCCAAGGAGACAAGATAGCACAGGCAATAAGGTGCAACTTCAAGGCTACCAATAATGAAGCTGAATATGAAGCACTAATCACAGGATTAACCGTTGTAAAGGACATGAAGATACAACATCTAGAGGTAATTTCAGACTCCTTACTCATGGTAAACCAAGTCAACGGAGAATATGCAGCAAAGGACGCCAGAATGATAGCCTACCTGGAAGTCACAAAGAAGCTCATTAACGAGTTCAAGGAATTCAAAATAGAACAAGTACCCAGAAACTTGAACACTGAAGCAGACGCTCTGGCAAACTTGGGATCAAACATCAACCCAGAGGAGTTTGGAACTATCCCTCTAGTGCACGTACTCTCTCCAGCCATAGAGAAAGAATCAACAATGGGTGTCTACGAAGCTCAAACACGCCTTACAGAAGAAGAAGACAACAGCTGGACAACACCATTGAAAGAATACCTCTTGGGCAAGACAAAACCAACAGGGAAGGTAGCAGCTTAAGCCTTTGCTCAGAAAGCCTCCAAGTACTGTCTGATCAGCAATATACTCTTCAAGAAATCTGCAGCAAGACCTTTCTTACGATGCCTGGAAGAAAAAGAAGCTCAGCAGGTCTTACAATCCTTAAACAGCGGAGAATGTGGAAATCATTCCGGAGAAAGGAACATAGCAAACAGAGCACTCAGAATGGGATACTACTGGCTCAACATGAGAAAGGATGCAGCCGAGTTCGCCAAAAAATGCCTAGCATGCCAAAAGCACGCACCCTTGACACACAGGCCATCAGAAGAACTACATCCAACATTGACACCTTGGCCATTCATGAAGTGGGGAATGGATATAGTAAAGCTACCTCCATCATCAGGACAGAGAGTATACTTCTTAGCAATGACAGACTACTTTTCGAAATGGATCGAAGCAGAAGCATACAAGGAAATCAAGGATAAGCATGTCATCTCGTTTACAAAAAGAAACATTCTAAGTAGATTCGGGGTACCAGCAGAGATCATTACAGACAATAGATCCCAGTTCATCAGCAATAAGACCACCAAGTTCTGTAAGGAATGGAACATCTCCCTCATCACATATACACCTAGGTACCCGCAAGCAAATGGACATGCAGAATCAAGCAACAAAGTCCTTATAAGCAACATGAAGAAAAGGCTGGAAGGAGCCAAAGGGAAATGGGCAGACGAACTACCCAACATACTGTGGGCAGATAGAACAACTCCAAAAGGCGCTACAGGCCACACCCCATTCTCGTTGGTGTACGGATGTGAAGCAGTGATTCCAACAGAGGTAGAAGTCCCTACAGCAAGGTATGGGTTAATGACAGAAGAAAGGAATCAAGCAGAATTAATTCACAACCTAGACACAGTGGAAGAACTTAGAGATGATGCACAAATGAGGATGGCAACATACCAGCAAGAAGTAGCAAGGTCTTTTAATAAGAATGTCAGAACAAAAGTCTTCAAACTAGGAGATTGGGTTCTCAGAAAGGTATACGAAAACACCAAGGAAGTAAACGCAGGGAAGCTAGCACCCAACTGGGAAGGACCTTACGAGATCATTAAGGTGGTAGGAAATGGAGCCTACAGACTCAGAAATGCAGAAGGAAAAGAGGTACAACGAATCTGGAACGTAGCACACTTAAAGCTATATCATTTCTGAGGATCGAAGGTACATAGTTATCATTTCAGTTTTATCTCCTTTAAAAAAAAAGAAGAAAAAACAAAAAAGCACAAAAAACTCCAACAACCAAAATCAGCACGAAAGGTACTCCTCTTTACTCACACTTTGTCATTTCAATTTATGATCATTACGAGTACTGACTTTGGCATCGGAGGGCCGTTGGGGAAACCCACGGCCACCCTTCACCCTATTCTGTTTTGCAAGGAACAATACCTACACTGCTAGGCAAGAGCACAACAAACCATCACAGAGCAAAGGTTAATCATCCCTGCAAGGAACAAACCAACTATCCTCGCAGAGCAAGCAAAAAAATGTAAGCAACACTACATTCATATTACATTTGTAATACAACTGTAATACGACTGTAATAAACTGTAATACAACTACAATACGACTGCAGTACGATAATAAGACATCAATGATACATTAAGAAACATAAAAACAGATCAACATAGCAAAAAAGGCAGAATTACTTAGTTGCAAAGCAGCAAAATAGACAAATTATCCAGCTACAAAAGTGTAGCACAAAAACAAGATAAAAATTGTCCAACTGCACCAAGGCAGTAAAAACAAACACCCTTCAAAGTTAACAAATTTTTAAAAGGTGACACAACACCATTGAAGCTAATTCTCATCTATGTTGTCAGCAGGGACCATTTCCTCAGCAACAGGCTTCGTACTCTCCGGGAAATCCCTGACCTCGACGTTGTGAGGAGAATTCACTTCCTCATCAGCATAGATCAACAACAATGTGCCAGGTGCAGTAGTCCTTGCAGGAAATGCAACCTCAAAAGCAGCCTTGTCAGCAACATAATCCCAGGCCTCATGTTTTCCCAGGCATCAACAGCCTCGTTCCCAGCCTCCTTCAAGGTCCTCTTCAGCCCATCACGTTCAGCAATGCATTCCCTGTGCCTAGCTCGTTCAACCTTCAGAGCCTCAGTAGCAGCCTTGTACTTATCAGAAAGAGCATCACGCTCCTTCTTCATAGCCTCATACACTCGAGTAAACTCAGACACTTTGCCCAGTACGCCCAAGCAAGACTGCAGGCTCTGCAGAACACGGAATCAAGTAAGGAATGCGTAATCCGGTTTTAACCATGTTTATTAATTTTTTTTTCGGAGTATACCATACTTGGAAAGACTGCACAGCAGCCTCTTGAGAAAGGTCAGCGAAAGTCTGCGAGGACTGGCGATCCTTGAAGGACGGAAATAGTAAGGTGTCCACATGCGGAGCCAAAGAATCAAAAGAGAAATCAGCAACATCAACATCAATAGGTACCCCAGCTTCCTCTTAAGGCCAGTACGAGGTGGAGGCGGAGGAGCACCGCTCTTTGGAGCCACCGTGTTGAGAGGAACAACTTCAGTGGTTTGAGGAGAAGAGCGATGCTTAAGGCGTCCCAAAAGGGAGGATGAGCTAAGAAGGTCATGAGACCTTAGTGACCTCGAAGTATCTGCAAGGAACATGGCAGAATTCAAAAGGGAATACAACAACAAGCATGACAAACGCATACAACAAGGAACACGACAAATATACTCAGCAAAATACATAACCGCCTTAGAAAGGATAAACAAATTAAGAGCTAAGTAAATCTTTAACAAAAGCAGAACAAATTCACAACAGGACACATCCACAGGGAACAACACAACAGAAATCACAAACATATTAGAAAAAAGA